TGCTAGACAGCAGATTGATGGGGTCACAATGCGGTCCTCATTCGGAACACCGCTAGCAGACATATTTCTTTCCAAACTAGGCAATTAATCCTTGGGTCCACTAATCCATCGTTTCGACCATCGCTATTGCTAAATAGATGACGTCTTTTGTTTGATCCATAACGGCATATCTCTGAGGAATATGTTGGTACAGTTTCATGGTGTGCACCCGGCGATTAATTCACGTAGGAACTTGAACAAAGAGGTCAATCTTCTTTCAGGATGTACTCCTTAGTAGACAAACTGATGGTTCTATATCAAGGAAAAGCAGAAGAAAGAATAAGTGGACCGGTCAGTATACATAGTTCATGCGTTTTGTGCAGCTTAACTACGAGTGCAGCTTGTTACATTGTATTAACACAAGCTCGAGAAAGCGATGCATACTGGACCCTCTGGAAGACGAGACGAAATCCATCCAGAACACGTTGCGCGAAAATATTTAACAGGAAATATTCATTCCACGTAACATGTAACCCAAAATAACACCGGCCGTTGAGTTTAGAAAAATGCCCTCTTCATCCACCTTGGTTTTAAATGTGATACAGTTACGGCGCTCCTAAGAAATAAACTTACTTACTCGTGAAAAAACACCTTTCCAGCTGCGGAATTACGATGCATCTTCACCACGGACCAGCGTCTTCCTCTGTGCAACAACGACGGACTGCCCAAGCTGATCTCTTCTCACGTTATTCATCGATTTGCTATGAGGCAACGTATATTGGTCGAATGGCTCGTCAATTGTCACGTCCCATTGCTAAGTAGCTTTGAGTTTTTGGAGAACGGGAGCAACGGAGCTCTTACAAGCGGCATTTTGTCTCATCTGTTCGAATCAGATAACCGGATTAACATCCCAAATGTCTTTACTTGGTTTTATTAGATTCCAATAAGCAAATGAGATGGTTGGTGGTTAAGCATACTTGCCATCGCACAGGCTATTGCGATTCGAATATTCCACCCCTCTGTGCTCTCAAATTAGTTCCTTCCATCTCTATATCTGCCCTGGCCGAACAACCATCAGTAAAGCCTTCACACTGACATCGTCCCGGGGGTTATGAAGACGCAAGTCCAAATGGATCGGTGTGAGTGAGACGGTGGCGAACTATTCGCTGTCTGCCCACTGACCAAATCATTTCAGAACAAACCTCCGAACCATTCGCTATCCATCCTTTTGTAGTTTAACCTAAAATGACTTCACTGGCCTGTAGATGAGTCACAGTGAACAATTATTTCCTTCAAGCTGGTGTTCTTGAAGAATCGTTGAGAATGTACCTTATGGTGAAACGTACTCCTAAAGTATAGCAACGTCCTTATCAAAGGAGATATCAAAATGCATGACCCGGTCGTCTCAGCAATCCCTAGGTAAACATTTAATGCCGATCTGCAAGAACTTATCACAAGTATTCCACTGTACCATTAATACACCACACCTACCAACAACACAGGTGATAACAAAACATCGGTACTTGACTATTTCTTTACAAACGACGAACTCATGGTCGACAGGCCATTTATAGACCTTTCACTAGGGTTAAGTGACCATGCCTCCACGCTTTATAACTACGTGTGTTACGTTGAACATCCGGAGGAACACACTTAACAAACACGCAACAACATACACTACAACATCCTGAAATGCCTGGTTCGGACGACCGATTGGGGATTCTAGAAAAGTGGTTACCCTGGCAATGCCTGGATCCTGTTTGTTGGAAGGCTAAAGAAAATTAAGTGAGTTCTTTTCACCAATCCATCGCCGTTCATTCGAAGTAGAACTTGTAAAATCGTGTCAATTTAGAATGCAGTTTGGCATATTTAGAGAGCCCATCCTGGCTCCGAAACTTGGAGCAAATACTTGACTCAGCACAAACATTAAAGTACCGTCTTCCGTGAGGACAAAGTAGCGCATGATCAGCATTTGGCTTACAAATTTGCAAACAACACTAACCTCTAATTTATTCATGTTAAGGCAAGTCGAAAGGTAAAGGTCGGTATCGCTCCACTTCACACGACAGTGGGAATGGTACAGACCGTTGCGTACGCGGCCAACTACCTGCGAATTCAGCACGCCGCGACCTTCTATCCAGACGTCCGTCAGTGTTATCTACCTACTACCTGGCTCCAGTTTTAGCACTTACTATCATCACTTCCACTGTCCCATCTTGGCTGAATTAAATGTTCTCATTACGCAACTTCATTTCTTCCGGAATCATCGACTACATTCACAAGGGACCTCAGAAAGTAGCACAAGCAACGCTTGTTGAGCCATTAGTGAATTTGTTTTATGCGTGCTTATATGAGCAAATTTTGCATATCATTAGGAAATACTCTAGAATAATGCCACTTTGTAATGGTGGCCATCGTTCGGAACCAACAAACAATCGCCTAGTGGCCCTCCTCCCTGTAATCTCAATGGGGATGTGTGCAATCATCTCCGAGGCATTAGTGGACCATCTAGAACGCTACAGCAGCACGGGTTTCACTAACACCTTTCATTGACAACCAACATACGGATTGCACGCGGTGGCTGGACGGAGGTGATCGACAACGGTAGAGGTACTGATGTTATTTAATTCTACTTCTCCAACTTGTTCGAACGACTGGACCACCGCATTCTGCTTCGACGGCTTGTAAGCTATGGAGTTTGGGACTCGGTTTTAGCGTGGATCAGGAATTTCTTGCAGAATCGACAACTGTATTTTATAGTCAGAAGTACACTATCTGCTCCGATTCATGTGGATTGTGGCGTTCTAAAAGGATCAGTTCTGGGGCCGCGTCAATTGTTCGTGTCCAGTAAAGAGACTACGCGTTTCATTGCCACGGTATTTATTGTTTGCTGGTGATGTTAAGATTTCGCAGGCGAATCCCGACCAAGGAGGTCACGATGCGTGTTACCATAACGCCGACATAACGCTGACGCAAAAGGAACCAGCTCAAATTGACTAAGAACGAAGGATGTATCCATTATCAACTGTGCTATTTATATATTAAATCAATGGACGGACAAACTTTAGACATTCGCCGTCTTATATTAACAACAATTTGCGCTGGGGTAGCTCCCAAGCATGTAAATTACAAAGAATCGTCACACCTCGAGTAGACAAGAATGCGAGACAAGGTGTACAGTAAGTTCTTTGGCCGTTGATCGATCATCGGACACCAACTCGTTCCTGCTTGGAGATATCATAAACAAAGGCCCAGTGCTAGAATTGATCTCATTGTTTTAAGGGAAGGACGAATCACTAGAATTTGGAACATGATGGTCAAGCTCACCCGGTGAACACTGAGTCCAAAGCACAAGTACAAAGGAAAAGGAGAAACAAAGATACATACACGTACATATTTAATGAGATAAAGCGCATCAGTGTCACGTGCTCTGTAGCAGCAAAGTGATATGGGTTATTTTTGGTCATACTTCACGCAAAAGGTAAGCCCAAACAGACAAGTAAAGAGATATGGACCATTTGGGTATCCTCAGAGACTGACAATTGTGGGTTAGAAGAATATCAAATGTACTTCAGCGAGACCTGGCAGGATGTATGGATCGTCTCTATACGATTAGCTTAAGTTTAATGAGTCAAAGTCAGTGTTTCTCAGTATAGTAATTTCGTTAAAGATTTTTATTAACATAACCTTTGTATTTTATCTATTGATGACCAACGTCCTCTAAACATTAGCTTTATTCATGGTCCATGTAAAACACACCCCTTCCAAGAAGGAACCTGGTTTTGACAGGGACTTAAATTTGTGTGTGAACGAAGCTCTCAAACGTCAAATAGCTATTGCGGTCATCTCATCTTGCTGTGGTGGGTAGCAGCTTAAGTCGTCATATTGCGTCCGCGCAAGCCCAAATAGACCAACATTTTTTCACGGCCGAAGGCGAGATTTAAGTCGCAAGCTATGGCCCCATTTTGCATTCCCTTCAAAATTTGATATGCTACGAAAATGGCAAACGGGAACTAGAGGCTAACTGACGCGATCGCACCACCGAAAACCCTGAATGAAAGCGTATATATTTCGGTGTTTTACGAGCGTGCTCATTTGATTTCACGAATTGAGGAGAAACTAACTTCGCGGTTACAAAATGGTGGCTGTTTTGTGTACTTTCTTTTATACTTCATTCAAATTTCAAATTATCAAATTAACGAAATTTGAAATGTATTCCGGAATATTGTATCGAATTATTTATTGCCGTTTAAACGTTTGGACTTTTAACATCAACGTGGGCAGTTGTCTGAAGAGCAAAACAATGCTAAATGATTCAAAGAAATTTTCACCGCCGGATTCAATTTGGTAATCGTTGGGCCGTATAATGTGCATTCTGAGAATGCAGAAACTGAAACTTTCCATGTATCTGTGCTGCCTGATGCAATGTAACTTAAATCTATGCCAACTGAAGCCCTGGTACCTGTAGGTAAGTGTCATCAATACAAGGATATTTATTGTTCTTCTGGATTTGTGAATTTCAAAAATTTCCGACAGTGTGTCTCCTGTAACAAACATATTCCGAACAGTTCCATGGTGCTTGTAAAAATGTGGCGGCATTTCGAAGAAAGCAGACGAACTGGAAAGACAGAAAAATGAGTACTTTAAGCGCAGGCATGATGGACATTTTAACCCCAAGTGTAGGTGATTCACGCTTTCCAGACTTAAATCAATAGAGTACTGAAAAATCTCGCATAGTTATAGTATTGCTCTGACAGAAGAACCCCGCGCATTGAACGAAAGCTTATCAATCCATGTGCAATCGAAATGATTAGAGGTATCCTTGATGAAAAATCAGCAAAACTGTCTGTAATACTGCTACCAAATAATGCAGTATCGCAACAAGTAAGACCATATTAACTATCATAAAGTAGGATTTAACCGCCCCCATTAGACATACTTACTTTGCTTTTCAAATGCAAGAGTTGACTGACGTGACAGGACTTGCTGGGCACCCGTGACCGCGCCATCGACGAGTGAGATTAGCCGCCGTTCGAAGAACCAGCCACACTGGCAGTAGAACCGAAAATCTCCAACCTCGGAGGTGATTTGAGGTCATCTGTTCCTATTGCGTTGTCAGTGGATTTGGTTTTCGCGCATGGACTGGCTGAACAGGGATGGGAGCCACGTTCAGCGGGCTGGGCAGTAGAAACCAAGAGAGGATTTGGTGACTTGTTGGGAAGTTGGTCGAGGGGTTCTGTAGCTACAAGCGGGTCAATGTTGTCATCGGATTTTCTCGAGCCCAAAATTCGGCCATCCCGTTTGTCACGTGAAGCCAAATATGTTGAATACCATCGATGGCAACGATGCCGCAGGTGACCGCGTTTCCGACAACGAAATCTACTGCGCGAGTACACAAGCCGGTAATGAGCAGGTGTGGGATATCGAAAATTGGGTATCACTGCTTGAAAAGCGTCCTCAATCAGAATTTCCGCAAGCGCATGCATGAACCTTTTACTCTCAGAGTTGTAAGCGAAAACGTAGAATAATTTATTCTCCTCATTCGGGCAGAAAGTGTTCAGCACAGTGCTCAAATCTGACAGAAGAGTGACCATGAATTGGCCGCGTGGCTGTTTGGAAACCAGTGTTTCCTGCACTTCGGACACGAACAACTCGCGGGACAAAACCTCATGTTTCAGTTTTGCGTTGGATGGAGAGTGGAACAATTCCCGTTCCAACAAGGACTGCTTGGCGCACTCTGGAATGTCGTGCGTGCGGTAAAGGGATTTGACAGAAACCATGAACTTGTCTCGTCGTGAGAATTTGATTTCTTAAATCAACCCAATGGTGTGGTATTCAAAACCGGCTTCCTCGTAGTATACAAAGTCCCCTGTGTGGTATTCGACAGCGCCCACAACACAAGTTGTGACACGTTCGTCCGTAGAGACAATAGTATTAGTACTGGACGTGGCTGAATTGGGGTTACTAGTTCCACGGCCTTTGCCACATTTGTTTTGCCGCAAGGGAACTTCAGAATTCGCTTCACAATTATCTATTGCATCCATGACGGAGGGGTTTGTGCACGCCGAGTCCGTAGTAGTCACGGAAGCTTCCGTCGTGATGGAAATGGACTGTGGTGAATAACAATGGTGTGGTGTATCGGGAGTAGTTTGACAGTTTTCCGCGTTATCACGTTCGCGGTGATAGCTTACTTCGTTTGCAGATGTCAACACCGCACAATCACTTTATCGAAAATCAACAAACCATGCACTACTATACACGGCAGAGAACCGCCTAACTAACCCTGAGAGAAAGAAACTATTGTGTGAACCTCTGCTGAACAGCACTAATGGCGCTAAGATGTTCATCATTGTGAATAAATTTCTGTACGCAAATACACATCCATGGGACAACTGTGTCGGTATTTTTACTAATAGTGCAAAATCAATGACAGAAATGGCTGTTGTCGTTGTGACAAGAAGCAAAACGGTTGCAAAACATTATCAGTAGCCAATGTATTTTTTATCATCGAGTACTTTCTGCAAAAAACAAATGACACCCAAACTCTAAACAGCCCTTGATGAAGTAGTGAAAACGAATAATTTAATAAAAGTGCAGTTTCAGATAAATCGACTTTTCAAGATTACGGGTGAAGAGAAGGGAAGTGTTCACACGGGTTTTTACTGATCCATACAAAAGTAAGCTGGCTGTTCCTTGGCAAAATAGTGTATTTGTTAGACCTTGGTTCAGACGTCTTCGCATTCTTTATGGATCACCAATTTGATTTAAATTTCCTGGTAAAGGACAGAAAGTGCTTGGCAACACTTTAATTTGCCCGATAGATTCGCAAAAAAATAGATGGCGTACACCTAGCACTACAAGGAAATATGCGACCATATTCAGTATAAATGTAAAAATTCGATGATTAAAAAAGTTATAAAGTTTTACGATTTCTGTTCACCGCTATGAAAATTCCGGCATTTCAAGGCATTTCGAAAGATGTGGATGTCACATAAATTACAGAGAACTTTCCTGAGGATTTGGTACAGCATTTAAAATGCTAATATTTGGGGAAAAATTGAAAGAATGCGCATGGGTCAAACACATAGTTATTTGCACGAAAAGTCCTCTTTTTACATCTCTTTAGCATGATAATTTCATTGACAAGCTCTCAGGCAGCTTATCAGAAAGAGTTACCAATTTGTCGCTGTCTGATTTCTGGTGTAAGGTGAAGGAGGAGTACTCGGTCAATACGAAGATAGCTGCAGCGGTGCTTCTCTCATTTGCCACCAGTTTTCTGTGTGAAAGTACGTTTTTAATTGTACCTATACAAAAAACGAATTATCGGAATACACTAGGAGCTGAACCAGATATGAGGTGACGGCTTTTCTCAATAACGCCAAAGGTTCGACAAGGCTGCAGTGCACGTCTGAAACAATCTCATCCCACACATGATGTCTTACTAGACGTTGTTTTCCTACCTAAATATAATACCTTTCATTTATTACTAACATTGATGAACACTCGTGTTTATTCAGTCATAAATAAATTGTTCGGGGACACTGGGCCTCATTTCCATTTTATTATCTCCTCGTCCTTTGATTGCCAACATGGCACGGAGTCCGCCGTGAGGACTATGGGGTCGAATGGTGCCCGGTATGGAAGCTTACTAGACAACCTAATATTAGCCTACCAGATTTTGCGCAACTAAAAAACACGCCTGCTGCCACCTACCACAACTCAGTAACAACAGGAAGTTGATTATTCACCAGCTTAACGTGCCAACGTAATGCAGTCGGCTAGAATGTTGAAAGCTTCATTTTTATGTGCCAGCCCATGGAACACCATCACAAATTACGCCAATCTTGCCCCACATTACTTCTGCATAATAAAAACATTGCCTTTTCCTTACTTTACTTACATTATGAGCTATAAGCTGCGTACTTCGAAGGACGAAATAATGTGACGAAAATTACACATTCAGCGTGTACATGCACAACGGAATTTTGCTGTCTTTTGCATGGACACCATAGTGAGTCCACTAGAAGGATTTTCATTTTATCACTTCGTTTTCATTTTACCATGTTGTGGTCCTCATACTGTTTGTCCTAGGGAGTTGTTATGCATCTGCTAGTTCACCCGTAATTTAGCATTTTTATTCAGTTTTTCTTTTTTCGCCGTGGTTGTCGTTTTAGTTGCAGTCTTTACATCACCAATCAACGTGACATCAACGGTGCAGAGTTGGTTGTAGCTTGTTAGCAAGATTCGTACCAAACAAAGCCAGCATTAGACGAAAAGCACAATCGTCAACCTGAGCATCCTCGAGCATTTCCTTACACCGACTTCATAAATCGAACTGAATATCCTACGTCTCCACCCCACCCATCTGCGGCAGTGCTGGAAGATTCGCAATTAAAGATGTAGCTATTTCCTTTGCTGGTACAATAAACGCCTTCAGATAAATGCTATCAATTCAAGGAATATTGCGAGGACACATATAGTGAATTGGCGGCGTCAGGATCCGGCGTTGTCTGTTAAAGCGTCCTCCCTACAAAGAACAAGGAACAATGCTTTATGCCTGGTAGAAAGCAGCTAGTTGACAAGTCTCGCAGGATGGTGCGGATATATCTACAATTATCAACAGATGTGTGAGTTGTATTCTTGACCAATTATCTAGCAGATACGCTGCTGAATAACAGTAGTGTAAGTAGGAATTGAATGCTCAATATCTTGGAACATATTTGGAGCCGATCGGGAAGTAATCATTTCAGAAAAGTTGGTAAACGACCGGTTAATGTATTTATGATGATACACTAAACGTTTCGCATTTGACACAAATGCTTCATCAGGCGAAGTGAATTATCTAAACATTGGCATTTTATAGCGATCATGGCTAAACTACATACAAAGACGAATCAAGTTGCAGTTCATCTATGAATGATTACAGCGGTCAGAGGTCAATATGTTCGCGGGTACACTGTAGTTGTTTCAGTCAGGATCAATTGGGGGAAAGAAATTGCCGGTCCGTGGATATTTATATTGTGATTAGAAATCTTAATTGAACCGTTGCAGGGAACTTGGACACTGATAGAATGTGGTTTTAGTACTTCGGAGTTTGGTGGAGAGTGGGTCGATAGTTCATTCCGACTTGGGATCCATCCACCGATGCTTACAAAGCTGGCCGGAGTAAGACTGAACGCCAGGCACTGGACAGCCCTACTCCGTCTGTTCTATTCACGCACTTGTTAGCCTTGGTTATTTTTATAGCCACAGCAATCAGCCTTTGTTTGGTTGATCGTAATCCCTTCCTGAATACCTCCACATTTTCGAAGTCAATTTGAAGCCCCGTGTCTAGCGCATGAATTGCCATGGCTGAATCTATGAGTAGATCTCCATACTCTAGCTCATTTGGCGGAGGTCGGGATATGTGTCGCCTATGTTCTGAAATCCTTGTACTTAATTCTCTCGCTGTTTGGCTTATATACACTTGTGTAAAATCTTTACATGGAATTTTGTAAATACAGTTAGTTGTTCTATCTAAAGGGAGTGTATCCTTCAGGTGCACAAGTGTGGACCGTAGCGTTCGACCCTTCTGGAAAACTACCTTTCTCTTCTCCTTATTCAGTACTCTCCGAATCGCTTCCGAAGTTCCTTCCTTATACGGAATACCCGCTGTCGCTATCCACTCTGCGGTTGGAGTTGCGCGTGGGTTGAGACATTTCTGTAGCTGTCGTTTCATCAATCGTTTCGGATATCCGCTATCTATTAAGTTGTTCATCTCTTCCCTCTGCGCTGCTTTCTTATCTTCTTCCTCCGTGCACAGAGCACATGCTATGTGAAATATTGATGAGGCGATTCCCGCGTACACGTGCTTTGGGTGGCTTGAACTATAGCTAAGTACCCCATCTGTGTCCATTGGTTTGCGATACATCGTTGTTTTTAACGTTCCTTCCTTCCTATGTACCAGACAATCAAGGAACGGAAGTGTACCGCTCTGCGACTCAAGTTCCATGATGAACTTTATCGCATTGTCAATAGAGTTCAAGTAGTATAAAATATGCTTCTTTTTTATCTCTTTTTATAATCGCAAAAATGTCATCCTGGTAGTGCCACCATACTTCCAGGGCACCACGGAAATTGGGTAATGCTTTCTTTTTCAAACTCTTCCATATACATATTGGCTAATACGTGGGATAATGGAGATCCCATGGCCAGACCCTGTTCTTGAGTGTACATTCTTGACTGGAATGTGAAATGAGTCATGTCGAGACACAAAACTATCCCCTCGACCACTTGATCCACGGTCAGCTTTGTTCTGTCCTCCAAGCTGCTGTCCCCCTCAAACAGTTTTTCGCTAATCGTAACGCCTCCTCCTTGGGTACATTCGTGAACAAGGAGGTAACATCGAAGCTGACCATCAATTCGTCTTGTTCGATGCTCACCCCTAGCACCATTTGTGCAAACTCATAAGAGTTTTTACAAATGTGTTCGTTCGCCCTGTTAGGGGTTGCAGCAGGCTGTCTAGATATCTCGCGAGTTCATGTGTGGGAGAGCCTATGCCATCCACTATAGGTCGCAAGGGGACCTTGGGCCTGTGTATCTTTGGGAGACCGTAAATTCTAGGTGGAATAGCCGACTTCGGATAAATGCTGTACCATTTGCCTTTTCCTAGACTGACCTTCACGGTCCTTAAGCAACTAGCGACATCTGATTTCTTCTTATTCATTACCGATGTAAGGGATTTCTGCTCAACCTCTTTGTATGGTCCCGTGGTCAAATGCTCCTTCATGTTTTCTAAATA